CGCACGGCCCCGCTCCGCTACCGCCTGCCCGAAATTCTCCGCGGTTTGGGTCATAATAACCCATTTAGAAATCAACAGCTGTAACTGAGAGGAAGGGGGGGTATGATTGGAAAAGACCACTTCACTCTAAATACCGGTACGCTGCAATAAAGCAGCTTTTGAAGAAAGACCTCTCCCTTCGTCTTATGGGGAAACACTAACATTTACATATAAGGTAGTAGTTACCTGGTTTAATTTTTTTTTTTTTTAAGGGGGGGGAGAGAAGTAATTGGAGATCTGAGGCACCGACCTCTCCGCAGGAGCAAGAAAAGAGCGCCCGCGACGTGCGACCGATTTGGTGCGTAACCTTGGGCAAGGCACCTGCGGCCTCCCTGTACCTGGGTGCCTCCTCACGGCGCTTACGGCCTTCGCTGTCCCGCTAACGTCCTTTGATTTCTGTATCTGGGAAAACACGTAGAATTGGTAGTTGTGAATTTAGATTATATGTAATGATTGCATAACAGAGCTCAGCGAGGAAAGGTTCATATGAAAACTCAGGAATAGTTGATCTTCTGCCTATGACTGTAACGGGCCAGACTACCGGCTGTACTCACGCTACTGAAGACATAAGGGGAGCGAGTCACCTGAACACCGTCTTGCCACTCTGAGCGATCTGGGCCCGTAAACACCAAGAGGAGCCTTTTGTCTGGAAAACCCGTGGAAATTTGGAAGTATTTTTCCAGACGTTTATGAAATATGCTTGGTGGCCTTCAGCAAGCATTCTTAGGTCTGACATGTAAAAAAGATGAGCATCAATTCATCTACTTGGTATTTCCATATATGTTATTCTCGACTGTGTGGGCAATACACCTTTGATATACTGGCTATGGCAGCAGAACTAAGGTTGCAAACAATTTCTATGACATTAAGACAGACTAGAATTCAAGGTTGAAGTTTATACTTTTTATTTCTGTATTGGCATTGATATAAGGAGAATCTTCAGCAGTTCATTTTTAGCAGCAGCCACTTCATAACAAGTATTATTTTTCCCATAATTATGTTTGCGGTTTGGTTTTTAGTGCATAACTGGGGTACAAAGCACAAGAAGTGGGACTCAGGTGTCCGTAAAATTCAGGTTAAAAAGTACTATTTTTTCATGACCGACACGCTAGAACGAATGACTCCAGTTTACATAGGTGATCTGTCTTATTCAGAGTTTTCTCTGAACTCGTCCGAATTGCTTTTCAAAACTACATCCCTTCTGGAAAATTTCCCCAGTTATTTCAATGTAATTACACGGGCATTTAGTTTAAATAAATGCACTAACAGCACTCGTCCATCCCACCTCTCAGCTACAGGTCACTGTTCCTACAGGCTAGCATGTCTTCAGCTATTCCTATGCGTTGTGTAGCACATTAGCTTTAATTTCTGAAATAAGTGGGTTTTCGGTGATACGGCGGGCTGAAGCATAGCACATGCTCTCTTGTTCCACCAAGTAATTTCAGGCAGAAGGTAGGGGTGGACAAATAGGGACAGCAGCACCTTCGGTAACTGCAATCGATTTGCCAGAGGATGTTCGCTTAAATCATCTCTGTAGAATAATTCCATCATGATGAAAGAAAAAATGATCTCGTTTACCTCTCCCGTTTCTTTTCATCCGTCATATCACCCTGGCCCATCTCTGTTTCACCACATTTATCTTCTAGTTGGAGGTCTCTGCTGGGAATGCTTTGCTAATATACAAAGTAGACCAACAAAATAGTGCTAATATTAGCATCTTTCCTGCCTGCTAAACTATGCTTTAGCCAGCATACCTTGCTTCAGCCATCTTTTTCCTCCAAGAAAAATAAACTGTGCCGGGTAATGGTCAGATTTATCCAAATATACTGTCTGTGTGAGGGGCATTTGCCATCAGTTATGTCAGTCATAAAACGTTACCTCCATCCACCCTAAACTGGCAGAGACATGCCTAGAAAATTATAGACCTTGCTTATGAAAATGATGAAGTTTAGTCTAGATATAGCAAATACAGTTTTGCCGGCACAGAGCCCTACTGATTTCATGTTTCCATGCTTCAAGTACTCAGGGTTCCTTAGCTATATATATATATATATAAAAAAAAAAAGTATGATCATTTCATTTATGTATTAATGTATTTAAACTCCGTGTTTTGGTTACTGAACTATACGGATGGATGGATGGATGGATGGATGATAAACAGTGGCCAACGCGCT